AAATAAAAAGGCATAGGAAGACTAAATAAGAAGACATTGTAGTTCTACTGATGGTATTGCTCCTGTCAGTCAAATCTTGGTAGAAAATGCAAAGTTCTACATGACTTGTGACTTAATTAATTTTCTCTCATTGCTGAGGCAAGGTACTCAACACCCAAAATTTAGGGAGGAAAAGTTTACTTAGCTCACAGTTTGGTAGAGGTTCCAGTCCATAATCTGCCGGTTCTATGGCAGGTTGGCACATGGCACAGTGGATACAGTTCATGGCAGTGAAAGGTAGCAAAAGCAATAAGAGAAAGACAAGCCTCTTTCTGTCCCTTTTATGTTATGCAGACTATCAGGATTAGAGTGGTGGCAAACCACCCAGTGGACTGATTTAGTAATCACACACCATTAATGCCAGCATCACACACTCTAGATTCAGCCACCTCTGAAATAATCCCTGTGACCACATTAGGCTTTGGGGGGCATCTAGACACAAACTGTACCATTCTACACGTGGCCTTCTAAATACTCATGCATATCCCTTTGTGCAAAAGGCATTTAGTCCATCTCCAAGAGTTGCAGTGTCCCAACAGTTTCAGCATTGCTGAAAAATCCAAGTCGCAAGCCTCTTCCAAGATTTAAGAGAAACTCTGAGCTATGAGTCTCTGTACAAATGAAAAGAACACTTCCAACATTCAATGGCACAAGACAGACATTTCTATTGCAAAAGTTACAAGCAGGGGAATAGCAAGGAATGAGAACAAAGCAAGAGCAAAATCAAGAAGGAAAACATTAAATCTCAAAGTTCCATTTCAAACATCCATGGAAATCTCAGGCAAGCTGTGAACTCCAAAGCACTTAGGTGGCTCTGGTCCTTTGGAACTGGTGGTGCTTGTAGCTCCTGTGACTTCTCTCTTGGGTCTACTGTGCTCCCTCTTTGCTGTTTTCCTCAGATGATCCATGTTCCTGAATTATCCAAACTTTTGGATTATCCACAGCACCTTTGGCTTCACACTCGCAGCTCCACACATTGCCCTCTCAGGAACACATTGCCTGGCCTCACAGGCCTTCTGAAATTGGAGTGGAAAGCTTTTTGACCCCACGACTCTTGCATTCTCCCTGTACCAAATATCAGCACCTTGTGGATGATACTATGGCCTGATGCCAACTACAGCAGTAGCCAGTCTTCCCTGTTGGTTGTAGGGGTTGCTGAGTGTGTGGATTACTGGGCATTATGAACTCAGTTTTGAGGAAAAAATTTTCTAGGCCTCTGCCATTCTAGAACATAGTTCTCTGGGACTTTCTTCTCAAAGCAAAGTCTTTCACTTTTGCAATTTTAAGTCTGCAGATTGTGGAGTCCTGCTGTTTCTTTTGATGCCTTCAGGCATCCTGTTCGTTTTCAGCAATCAAGATCTCAGCTTTATCTTTGCTGTCCACATCTTTACTGGAGATTCCTTTCCGGTCAAATTCACATTTTAAATCATTTTGGTGGGCTCTTTGCTCCTGATTCTCAACATGTGAGTAAAAAGCCGCAACAGTAACTATGCCACCACCTCAACATTTGACTGCCTTGAAACTTCTACAAGATTATTTATTATGCTGCCCTTAGTCTCAGTCTCAGGCAAATCTCTGAAAACAAGTAAAGTGCAAATAAACTTTCTGCCAAGACATAGCACACATGGTCTGGAGTCCAACAGCCAATTTAGTCCTTCTCAGAAGAAACCTCCTAAGCGTGGTATTTATAACCTTTCTGGTCTTCTGAAATCTGACCAGAATCTACAACACAGTTCAGCTTTTCCAAATCTACATTCTTAGCAAGCATATCTCAACCTTTCCAACTCTTCCCCTTCCCATAAGCCAATTCCAATGGCTTTTGAGCCACATGGCCAGGTATAGTCCCAGCAACAATCCCATTTCTCAGGTACCGAATTTTGTCTTAGTTACTTTTCTTGTTGCTAAGACAAAGTACCCAATGCCCAAAGTTAAGAGAGGAAACGTTTATTTAGCTCAGATTTTTCAGATTTTTCAGTTCATAATTAGCTGGCTGTAAGGCAAAGTGGATTTGCAGAGAAATATTCATGGGGGACAGACTGTAATAAAGTAACAAGCAAAGACAAGCCTCTTTCTGACCCTTATATTGTGTCCAGGGTACAGTCTATGTACATATCTGGCATGTGAAGAAGTGAACCAGATTGCTGGATTTGAGTAAGATTGATGGCTTTTAATTTAATGTTTTCAGCATTGGGAAAATTTGACTTGTGTAATTCAGTATTTGCATGTACTTTGCATGTGGAACTCATGTGCAGTCACTGTTAAACTGCCCTATCATATAACTGTTAGCTTAGAGTTTCAGACATTAAAATTAATTAACAGTTAATTTAAGTCATAATGTGAAAGTGTGACGTTTAAGTCATTCATGGCTAATTGAAATATTTGAGAAATTATATTTTAAAATGGGCAGTGTGCTTGTTAGATTCTGTTTGTAGTTTGTATTTTGTTAGCATGTCAATTGGATTTTAAGTAGGCAAATTTCTTGATCTTTCCAGATAGTGTCTGCATCCTGCTGAAAATATTTGGAGAATGGTGAAATATTATTATATTGTTAAAGAATATGTAAATACAGCAAAAGTTTATTTAAGCATTTGGATGACAGAGACACTAATTGCTAATTTTATGAAGGATTTGATCAGTTTGTGACTACAATACTGTGTATATAAAGAATACTTGAAGTCCTAGACTTTTTTGGATTTTTGGTATATAGAAAACTAACTAGTTCATTGATTGCTATTATTATGTTGAGCATAATGTGAAGGTTTTAGGGGAAGGACATGCAATGATTAATGTAATATATATATATATATATATCCCTTTGTTATATTATAGGCTATATGAAAAATAAAGTTTAAAATACATTTGTATCTAATTTTAGATGACTAACTGAAAATTAACTTCAGCTTACAAAGTTTAGATTCCATATTTCAAATATGCAGTACTTGATTTACTGTAGTTGCCTTATTTCATTTAGGATAAAGTGTTTCAGAATGATAAATATTTGAAGGAATGGACACACTAATTGGTTATATTTAATCATTCCACATTGTTTGCATATATCATAATATAAATTTGTATCCATAAATACATACATTACAGTTTGTGAATTTATTAAAAAATATATAAAGAACCTGAGATAATGACTTCAACAGATTTTATAGCTGGTAACAGATTAGACAAACGTTATTAACATGAATAAAGTGTTATTTGGGCTTTTTTGCTGAATGAAAAATTAAAAGAAATACAAATGAAATGGTGAAGAAGGACATATTGAATTCTATGTTCTAAGCATTGCATTGAAGTTTTTATAAGTTATTAATACGAAGAAAAAATCTTTCATTGCTGATAGTTTTGATTCGGTAGATTACTCCTGAAAAGCATTTAGACATAGTAAGTCATAAGTGAACACTGATAGGGGAATTTCATTGGCATTCTGTTGAAATCGTAGGGAGTAAAAAGGAAGTTCTCTTAACTTTATTACTTGTGTTCTATGCAGAATTTCAATTTCTAGGCTTCTTTTGGTACTTGTGTAACTCTGATAACTATATTTTTTGGTTCTCCTTATCAGAAACATTGATGACTAATGTGTTCTGTATTTAGCAATTTCTTTAACTGAGATAATCACTTTAGTATTGTATGGGACCTGTTCTATCTACAAGTATATGTTATGTGTTCCTTTGCATGTTCTTGTTAATGGCTTTAAATTAACCATCATAGTTGAAATGAGGATGTGGACCTCAAATAAATCAGTACCACTACTTCATTCTCATTTCCACTTAAGTTGGATTTCATTTAGAATTAAAAATAGCTGTGTGAAACACACTTTTAAGAAAATGAAACAGGGTAGGAAAAAATTGTTGTACATAAAAATATGTGTTTTGACTGTTTGTAATCCTTCTGTTATTTTGGAAAAAAGAGGTTTAAGTAGCCTCTGGAAACATTTCTTACAGATTCGTTGTTCTCTTTATGTACTGAGAAGGAGGCAAGAAAAAAGGGAAGAAATATCATTGAAGAAAATGAGATTATTGGTAGCTGAGAAGTATATGTAGGACTTATACAAATGTTCCCCATGATAGAATTTCTGTAGCCTATAAAACTTTGGAAAAAGTATATTCAAGGGTGTTGTGAAACATGTGTTAAAAATTACCATTTCTAGGCTAGTATCCAACCTGAAGTATGATTACTGTAAAGATAATTGATTAATATATGTTGTATATTGCTATGGTTTACTTACAATCATCTGTAAAGTTAAGCTTTCTTTTTATAGCCTCTTCTTAAAGGAATTTCCTCTCTCAAATCCCAACCAACTTTGGGTTAAATAGACAACTACTTAAATTTGCTACCTTTTTACATGATGACATAACTGTGATTACCACAAATAGAATGTTGATAATTCTTCAGAGATATTCTTTCAAGAGATTTATTTTGAGAGCTATTATTTCAAGAGTGATTTAGGCTGTTTCAAAATTATTTCGACTTGCATACAAAAATATGGGATACTTGATACTAGTCACCAATATTGACATTTATTATTAAAACGAAAAATAGCTTTGTATTTTGATAGGTAATTTATTCTTTATTGACAAATATGTCACATTACAACTATACATAGCCATTTTAGTGATTTATATCCGAGAGGGGAAAGCATATTTCAAGTATTTTTTAGAATTATTTTGAAGTTTACATATTCTATATCCTGTCTCAAAGCTAGAAACTGAAAAATCAATATATTATGATTATTAAAAAGAAAACTACTTCTATTTGTTAAATGCAGTGATATTTGGTTTAAATATTTTTTATTATTTTCTGGTTAAAAAGATTGCATCTCACAGCCTAAGGAGAGATACTGGGATACAATAAAACATGATTTTTAAAAAGGCAAATTACAATGAATTTAGATACTTTTTGAAAATAACTTCTTAGCATCATAGCATAACAAGTTTAACATGCACTGTTTCTTTTAGGACTGGATCTGCCATTTATGATGATGCCTCATCCTCTACTTCCAGTCAGCTTACCTCCCGCATCAGTTGCCATGGCAATGAATCAGATGAACCATCTCAATACTATTGCCAACATGGCTGCAGCCCAGATTCATAGTCCACTCTCCAGAGCTGGTGCCTCTGTTATAAAGGTAAGCATCGTTGTTAGAAAAGAACCAGGGTGTTAATTAGATATAAATATGGATACAATACCAGCAATAAGACTGAATCTTCAATAGTAACACAACTTTCATTAATTTCTTTGATTATTATCCAGTATTGTTTAATTTTGTTTCTGACTAGGTCAGCCAGGTTTTCTATTGTTATTGTTACTTTTTTGTTTGTTTTCATCCTACAGCTTCAAGTCTCACTTTATTTTTTAAATTTTAAAAGTTTTATTGCTGCATGTTTATAGTATATAATGATGACATTCATCATGGGGAATTGGTAAGTGTACAGGACATATTTTAAATCATTTTATCCCCATTCCTTTTCCTCCTTCCTCCTTTGCATTTCATAAATCCCTCCATATGTGTACAATACATGTTGGTTGTACATAATGAACATTTTTCCTCATAGGAATTTGGTGCATGTGCATGACACTTCACAGTTCCACCCTTTATAAAATCTCTTTTCCCTCTCCCCCATCCTGATTCTCTCCATCCCTTGGTTCCCTTCCTATATGCTTAGGTTCTATCTCATTATTTCCTATTGTCTATTTTTTTTGCACTTATAAAATATTTTGTATTTCCTACATAAAACATGTAATATTTGAGCTTGTGTGTCTGATTTATTTCATTTAATATTATGTTCTCAAGGTGTATTCATTTCCTACAAATGATTAAAGTTCATCTTTCTTTATGGTAAAGTAGTACTCCATTGTGTCTAAATACCACAGTTTATTTATCCATTCATCTGTTAGGGAGATATAGGCCACTTCCAAGATTTAGCTATTATACAATTTGCTACTATAAACATAGGTATGCATGTATCACTATAATACAATGTCTTTAACTCTTGAAAAGATACCTAGAAGTGGAAGAGCTGGATCAAATTGGATCTAGAGTTTTAGTTTTTTGATGAATCTCCATACTAATTTCCATCATGGTTGCACGAGTTTACACTCCCATGAACAATAAAGAAGGGTTCCCTTTTCCCAAAATTTTTGACAGCATTGGTCATTTGATTTCTTGAAAATAGCCATTCTTTCTGGAGTAAGATGCAATCTCAATGTTTTTTTAACTTGCATTTCTCGAATGGACAGAGATGATGAGCATTTTTCCATATATTTATGGACCATTTGTATTTCTTCATCTGAGAAGTGTGTGTTAATTTCAGATGTTTATTTTAGATTGAGTCTTTTAATTTGAGAGTCTAATTTTTTCATTTCTTTATATATTCTAGGTATTATTGCATCATCTGAGAAGTAGTTGGCAAAAATTTTTCTCATTCTTTAGGTTGTCTCTTCACTCTGTTGATTACTTTCTTTGGTGTGCGGGAGCTTTTACATTTGATATGATATCATTTGTCATAATTCTTGGTATTTCTTGTGCAGCTAGGGTATATTCAGAAGCTCTTTGCTTATGTTTATGTCTTTCAATTTTTGCCCACTTTCTTTTCCAAAAGATTAAGTGTTCCTGGCTTGATACTTAGATCCTCAATCCATTTTTAGTTTAGCTTAGAGCATTGTAAGAGATTATGGTTCTAGGTTCAATTTTCAGCATGTTGATAGTCAGCTTTCTCCAGCACCATTTGTTAAAGAGACGCTCTGTCCTTCAGCAAAAGTATATGGCTCCCCTATCAAAGATAAGGTAGCAAAATGTGCCTAGAATGGTTTCTGTATCTTTGATTCTGTTCTATTGATCCACAAGTCTGCTTCCTTTTTTGCCGGGTGCATACTGCTTTTGTTTTTTATCATTGTAGCTTTATAATATAACTTCAAACCTGGAATTGCAATGACTCCTAACTTGTTGTTGTTGCCCAGGAACAAATATAGTTAATATGACTGCACTTCAAAGAGTGTTATACAGATTTAAACCAATCTCAATTAAAATATCAATAACATTTCTCAAGGAACTAGAGATAACAATCCTAAAAATATTCTCACTTTCAACTCTAGATTCCTTTCTTGAAAACATATGCACAATATGTAGAAAACATGACCAGATTAATGACAGAAAAGTGTGCAAAATTATTCCTGTAGCTATGATGAAGTAAATACTACAAATCTTTTTGGAGTTGGAGAAGTACATGTGAGACATGATACCCTATACAAGACTTAGAGTCAGACACACTCAGATTCCAAGTTTGATTTTCCACTGATATTCTGAATGATCTTGGGTATAATATTTAACACACCTAAATATGTTTTCTTAGCTCTACAATGAAGGAGATGGTAGTAGACTATCCCACATTTTTCATTGGCTCTCTGGAGATAATATGAGTTAAAAATTTTGAAGCATTAAAGAAATATATATAATATTTATGTTACAATTCTCATAAGAATATTTTATGTTTTCAAAAGTTGATGATCATTGATTAATAAAACACAAAGGATATATTACAATTTCTCCTTTTGTTTCTTATTACTTTGATACATAGTGTCTCTGCTTTTTTCTCCAAATCCTACCATCTAAGATTTTGAATATTTTTTTCTTTTGATGAGTAATGATATGAGGATATATAGTATCCTAGCAGTACAGTTAATCACTGAAGCCCATTTATGTGTTTCATTTTTCCTCACTTTATTCAACAAATATTATACCCTTGATAAATGCATATTGTTACATGAGCAATATGGGAAACTGATAAATAAAACATATTCTTTAACTACCAGGTGCTCACAAACTAAGTATGAGATAAACAAGTACCTGTTTAACTTGTACTAACAAGAGAGATTGTCATAGATAACATAAGATTAACATAATATTACATGAAGCTACAGAAGGAGGAGATTATACTTAGCTTGGAGAGGAGATGGGGTGAGGGATCAGGAAAGATGTTACAATTGATCAATTCAGACTGAGTCTTGCAATATTGATATGATTATAATAGGCATGTGGATGACAAAGGTGAAGGTAGAAGAAATAGGATATATGGGACATTTTTTTAAAACTAACTTCCATAAGGGGGTGTTAAAGCACTGACAAAAATTTAAAACATAACTATTACAGGAAAGGAAGAAAAATTTTGATGATATATGAAGCTGCATATATAGTTTACTGGCTAGGTGGAAGTGTGGTTCTAGTAAATATTTTAATAGTTAATGAGTTAATATGTCCTAGTTGTTTGAATATTGGCCAAGAGTACAAACTGACAATTGGCATTTTCTTTGAGAACTAAGTTCCACATGAATGTTATGATTTTGAAACAGGATGGGAACTGACAACATATGACCTCACATTCATATTTGGAAATTCCATTTGCAAATAAAAGCATATTTCAAAATAATAGTATTGTCATACTTGCTTTGAAATGAATAAAACTGCCATTAATAGATACATGTTTATTATTATTATTCAAAAATGCATTTGGTTAGTTTTCCAAAGGACCATTTCTCGGGCTGGGGGTTTAGCTCAGCTGCAAAAGCGCCTGCCTGGCAAGCGCAAGGTCATGAGTTCAGTTCCCGGTACCAGAGAAAACCAAAAAAACAAAACAAAGAAAAAACATAACCAAAGGACCATTTCTCAATGTGAAATAGTTACAGTTTTGTTGACTATTTGAGATTCAAATACACTTTGGATTGAGGTCCATAACTACCATTTGGTCATTAGTGGTGATTATTATGGTTATGAATAAGGAAAAGATAATTATTTTCCCTTAACACAAATATTGTTTTATTGTTAACTTATTAAATAAATAGGAACATGCATTTTTATTGCTGGTTTGAATATTCCACATGCAATATTTTTTAAAAAATAAGTTTTTAGGTTATTTTTAATAACTTTAGAAGTTAAATGCACCAGGTGTGGTGACTCATGCCTGTAATCACAGCACTTGGGAGGCTGAGGCAGGAGGATCATTGTGAGTTTGAGGTCAGCCTGTGCTACATAGTGAGTTCAAGGCCAGTTTCCACTACATTGCAAGACCCTGTCTCAAAAAAATTTAATGCTTATACTAGTTTTAATAAAAATGTCTCATTGTTGTTGCACTCTTTCAATATCATAATTTTATTTTTATTTACAAGTTTTTATTAATGCATATTAGTTATACAAAATAGGAGGCTTCATCTGGGCACATTCACATGTGTGTATAAGTGACATCATTTGATTATTTTCACCTTCCCCTCATACCCTTCCTTTTTCCTCTCTTGCCTTCCTGATCCCCTTCTTCTTCTTCTCTAAAAGTCATCTATTTAATTTGTCATCTTTCTTTAAAACTTTGTCTAGGTTCCACATATGAGAGAAAACATGCAATATTTGATTTTCTGAGTAGACATTTTTCACATAGCATCATGATCTTCAATTCCATCCTTCCTGCAAATAACATAATTTTGTTCTTCTTTATAGGTGAATAATAATCTATTGGGTAAATATACTACACTTTTTATTTATTCATCTGTTTATGGGCACTTATTCTATTTCCCCAGCTTGGTTACTCTGAATTGTATAGTAATAAGCATGAGTACAGAGGTATCACAATAAAATGTGATTTAAATATTTTGATAATCTATAAAAGGATGGTGTAGCTAGATTAAAAGGTAGCTGTCATTTTAGTTTTTGAGTAACCTCCATATTGACTTCCAAAGTGTTTATAGTAGTTTACATTCACAGAAAATGTGTATTAGGTTTCAGTTTTTACTGTATACCCACCCGAATTTAATATTTGGTATTTTTTTTTGACTTTTATTTTTATTTATTTATTTATTTATTTTAAATTTGAGAAATAAAAGGAGGAAAATACTAACAGACTGACAACATTTTACAAAATAGCATAGGATCAGTACAGACATTACAGAGTTACAAACAGAGTGGTAGGGAATTAACAATGCTTATTGTATTACATATTGATATCTTCAATGTAGTTTCTCATGAAAACACATATAGACATACAAAGCTAATCAACCAATGCCTCTCTGACAGTTTCTTTCAGCAAGGAAATACAGGACAGTAGAACACCCGTGTTAACTATCCTGCATATGGTCACAGCTAGA